AATAAAATATTTCACTCTACCACGAGTCATGCTCACAAATTAATAAAACACCTTTAAATGTGTGTAAATGACTGCAGTAATTCAATTTTCCCATTACAAATATGCAGTGTATTGTAGTTTTTCCTTAATAAAGTCAAGGCTAATATTTTCATTTAATTTGTTTCACATGCATTTTATTTCTTTTAGTTGCATAAATATTTGATGATATCTTAGGTAATTTCCCACCCAGAAATATGAACCACGTGGAGTGAAATAGCAGACTTAATTTAATAAATTAAAAGGTAAACAAAACATTTGGAAATGCCAGTTTTAGTTTCAAGTCTAAATTTTCAGCAGGTTTATCAGCAGCTTCCCAGGCATGGATTAAGCCTAGTCCTACTCGAAAAGAAAAATTCAATGAATATGAAAAGAAGTTATGGTCTAGAAGTCAGTTTAATTCATGTCTGGGGAAACTGAGCCTAACAGAGTTGTTGGGGAGACTCCCAACCTCAGTATTTGAAAATCCCGGCCCAGGTGTGCGACTGAGTTTCATTAGAAATGTTCTTTTTTTTATTTTTTTTATTTTTTTTATTTTTTATTTTTTTATTTTTTTTTATTTTTTTTTATTTTTTTTTATTTATTTATTTATTTATTTTTATTTATTTATTTATTTTTATTTTTATTTTTTTATTAGAAATGTTCTGATGTTTGTGCCAATAAAATACCCAAATTGTAAATGCATAAAATTTACACCAATGCATTAAAAAAATAAATAAATAACCCTAAGACTCTGACATCATCAATTTATAAAAGTTTTTTTAATACTCAATGTTAGAGACACATTTTGAGAATAATAAAAACTCATTATTTCCTTTTTTCTTCATCTTCCACTCGGATTGCCTTCTTGAGCCATTTGAGTACATGAACACACAATCTGTTCAGTACTAAAAACAGTTAAACAGTCCAGCTTATACAGTGCAGCTAATTATTTACTGAAAAAACACACCACAATACATAAAAAATGAGTAGAGAAATAAAAACTACATTACCAGCAGCTGTTTGTTTATATGTTTGACTGTTGTACAGTTGATGTGTAAGGGGAGTGAGCTTGTCTGTCTCTCACTGCCATCATCATCTGCCTTCACTGAATAAACATGTTCATTCTACCACATTTGACTTGAAATTACATTTACAGATAAACAGTAAGAATAACAGAGTTGAACTTAGAGTCGATTTTTAAGTTTGCTGCATTTCTGGTCTTTATTACAGAGCAAATTTAACCACAGTGAAAAGCACTTTAATGTGTGTGTGTGTGTGTGTGTGTGTGTGTGTGTGTGTGTGTGTGTGTGTGTGTGTGTGTGTGTGTGTGTGTCCAGCTGGGTTTAGTCTTCATCCATTTATATGTGATGCCAGTATATTAGTTCCTGGCAGTGTCTGGTGTATGTAATGGCACATTGTTCTAAGCATACAATGCCCTACTTTTCTTTCTCTTTTATGCATTAAATTACAGTGAAGCCTGCATTATCACTTTACTAGTGCTTTAATCTGTTTGTTTTAAGTCTTTAAACCCATCTGAGGGGATGATCGCTCTTTTGCGCAATTAGTAGCCTTTTCAAAGTGGCGGATTTGGAGCTGTGTTTTTATTCAAAGTGCTTGAGGCCCAGCTGCGGTAGATTAACACTGAAGACACAGGCAGGTTATACAAGCACTGATAGCAGGAATAAAAGGAGGTTGGCAGCAGGGTACGATTCCTATGCAGGCAAATGGTCCTGCAAGCGGGAATAATGGAATTTGCTGGATTAAAATGAGAAGAGGGGATGGCTGGAGGTTAATGCGGCAGGTTATTGTGCATTACCCCACTGCTCATCCTCGCCTTACATGGCTCTATATGACATCCACTGCCTTCAACAACATACCCAATATTACATTAGTGGCCGGCGTATGCAATATGCCAAATTGCTTTTTCAAACTTGTTTTTCCTGCATATAGTTATTCATTATATTCATTTCATTTGTGGCACATAATGTTTTTGTGGAATCACAGTGTCTGCTCTTCTGTTTTAATCTCTCAAATGTAATGCCTTAAGCTGTGAACAGATATCTGGGCCATATTCACGAGTGGATACTCGCACGAATACAGCGCTGGACATATTGGGGGTTTGGAGCGAGGAGGTGCCTGACAGTAGCAGGTGCTTGCTCTCCCATAACACACACCACTGAGGTGATAAACGCACAGATTGGTGAACTGCTTATGATGCAGATCTGCAACGCAAATTGAAATGTGCCACTCTGTTTTCTCTTCATAATGTAAGGACCAGATCTGAACCCTCAGTCATCTGTCTATCGACACCAACGATGCTGAGTAAGGATCACCAGTTTGGAGAGCACATCTGTGCAACTCCAATAATACTTTCCATAATAATAATGGTAGAATATAAAGCACCTTTAGGAATGCTGTTGAAAATTTAAAAGTTTACATTAAGTGCTGCTCATCAAAATGTGTGCATCCTTAAACCCTAATAAATATGCTGAGTGTCTTTCCTTCTCAGGAAAATTCAGCAAAAACATATTTATTTGAAATATAGCATTATTCAGATTTATTATAAGCAATAGTCTTCCTCTTCACTGATTTAGCACCATATTGCTGCATATTGTAGCACAATACCAAAATAATAGAAGAGAACTACATATAAGAGACCTCACAGA